AATGAGGGCCCCTACCTGTAAACCGAGGCATTGAGAACTTTGTAAGTGTACAGACAGTTTATTAAAAAGATAGTTTAGAACAACAGTAGCGTTACATACAGGCGGGCTCCATCTTGGGAAAACAGTCATGCGACCAGTCAAACTCTCTGAGATGTGAAGTGAATCTTGCGTGAAACGTTGTTGCCAGAAGAAAGCACTGAGCGCATAAGAGAAGCACTGAGCGCATAAGAGAAGCACTGAGCGCATAAGAGAAGCACTGAACGCAACAGAGACTAGTGCTTCCACAAGATACACACTAAAGAGATGGCGGATTATTCAACCGAATTTGAAGACATCGACAACGAGTGCTTCTCTTATGCGCTCAGTGCCTTCTTCTGGCAACAACGTTTCACGCGAGATTCACTTCACATCTCAGAGAGTTCGACTTGTCGCGTGACTGTTTTCCCAAGATGGCGCCTGCCTGTATACGTGAACGCTACTGTTGTTCTAAACTATCTTTTCAATAAACTGTCTGTACACTTACAAAGTTCTCAATGCTTCGGTTTATAGGTAGGGGCCGTCATTATGCTACCGTGTAAGTGTGGTACTATTTTGAGCCTTGTTAGTGGTATAAAAAGCGATTTCTTTTCACTGTACTCTGTAGCCCATTGGCTAGCGTTATAAGCTAATTAGCGGTTTGTGCTAAAACTGGTCACGTTCGATTAGCATGAAAACTTATCCCAGAGAACTCGACGAACTCGGTACACACGTGTTATTAACCCTTAGGTTCATTTTGCGCCAGAATTGTCCTTTAAGAAGTGAGATCGGTCTGTAGCTATTGCAGAGTAATGGATCCTTCTCTTTTTAAAATCAGGGAGATAGTGGCCTTTGACAGGGCGTCTGGCAGCCGACCAACTAGAAGTGCCTCATTATACATGTCTCTAAGAACTGAGGCCAGGAGATCTGAGAAAGTTTTATAATATTCCGTGGTAAAGCCATCCGGACCCGGCGATTTACTACTCTGTAATGATTTAATGGCTTCTTGGACCTCAACAGTTGTTATGAGTCCTCCCAAGCCTCTTGCCGTTTCGACATCTATTTGGAGAAAGATAATATTGCTAAATGTATCATGTGTAACTGGGGGGTGATCAGAAGTGTAGAGGTCGGTATAAAATTTGGTGAAGGTTTCATTCATTTTAACCGGATCAGTATAAGTATCTCCCTGGTTTGAGCTAATAGCTGGGATTAGTTTGAGACAAAAGAAATTACTTGACCTCCGATACAGGCTTTCGAAGCCTCCCACAACGTTCCTCTTTTAGTTTCCGGCAAGTCATTCAATTCAAAGAACAGTGTAATTTGGGAGCGCAAACATTGTCGATAGCAGTCCTCAGCTAATAACGCAGAGTTAAACCTCCACTGTCTAAAGGGTTTGATCTGTACGCGAAAATTGAAGTCAAGGGAGGTCGGGGCATGGTCCGATATGACAGTACTGTGATAGTCACAGGAATTAACATTGCTGAAGAGTCTGTTGTCTAGGAGGAAAAAATCTATGCGAGAATAAGTACAGTGTACATGTGAGAAAAAAGAGAAAAGTTAAGTTGTGGGAAATTTACACCGCCATGGGTCTGAAAGCCCAAGTTGTTCAGCGAAAGTGCTAAGAGTCTAAGCTGACTTGGTTAGAGGGAACACCTTGTTAGAGGATCTGTCAAGTATTGGATCTTGGACCAAATTGAAATCTCCTCCCACAATAATATGGTAGTTATCAATGTTTGGAAAGGATGTAAAAAGTTTGGTTATAAATGCACTGTCATCCCAGTTAGGGCCGTAGACATTAGCCAGAACAACTGGGACACCCTGTAGTTTGCCAGAGACAATAATAAAGCGACCCACGGGATCCACCACAATTGTGTGAGGTTCAAACTGGATGTTTTTACGAATCAGAATAGCTGTGCCCCTGGCCTTCTCATTAAATTTAGAGTGAAATAGGTGATCAATCCAAGCTCTTTTGAGTCACGGCACCTCTTTGTTGCGCAGATGGATGTCCTGAATAAAAAATATGTCCCCAGTGAGCCATGATTCTACCAGATTTAGTGGCACCCCCTGGTGAGAGACATTTTAGACTTAGCAGAGGATGTAGAAGCAGGACCTGCTGACCCAGAGTAGCAGAGGAGTTCTGCTCAGAGCTTCCTCAATCAAATTCGCTGCTTCTCTCAGCAGCTCCGGGCAAGTTTAAGACATTTTGTCCTGCACCTCGCACGCTGTCTCAACATTGGGGCTAGCAGGACCGAGTCTTCCCCTGGATTTTTAGCTGTTGCAGTTAAAGTTTTGTTGAATAGAGTATCTAAACCAACATAGAGGTGAATAGCACCACCCAGTGTATTGGAATTTGTTCACTAGCTCTGCATCAATCCATTATCTGCAATTGATTTGCCTTGACTTGATGCGCAGAGTAACCAATCAGGCGTTAGGATCCGCCTACCAACTTTAATGGGTGAGTTTGACAGATAAAATGAATTCATAAAGTAATGCAACACAGGTTTTTTTTACATAAAATTAATCGGTATTTTAATGAATTAATGACACATTTAAGTAATTATTTAATGGTGTATTTATTTATTTAATTTTGGCACTTTTAGTCCTCCATAGTAGCAGAGGTAGTGCAGATAGAGTCAGCGCAGATAGAGTCAGTGCAGATAGAGTAAGCGCAGATAGAGTCAGCGCAGATAGAGTCAGTGCAGATAGAGTAAGCGCAGAGAGTCAGCGCAGATAGAGTCAGCGCAGATAGAGTAAGCGCAGAGAGTCAGCGCAGATAGAGTCAGCGCAGATAGAGTCAGCGCAGATAGAGTCAGCGCAGAGAGTCAGCGCAGATAGAGTCAGCGCAGATAGAGTCAGCGCAGATAGAGTAAGCGCAGAGAGTCAGCGCAGATAGAGTCAGCGCAGATAGAGTCAGTGCAGATAGAGTAAGCGCAGAGAGTCAGCGCAGATAGAGTCAGCGCAGATAGAGTCAGCGCAGATAGAGTCAGCGCAGAGAGTCAGCGCAGATAGAGTAAGCGCAGAGAGTCAGCGCAGATAGAGTCAGCGCAGAGAGTCAGCGCAGATAGAGTAGCGCAGAGAGTCAGCGCAGAGAGTCAGGTCAGCGCAGATAGAGTCAGCGCAGATAGAGTAAGCGCAGAGAGTCAGCGCAGATAGAGTCAGCGCAGAGAGTCAGCGCAGATAGAGTCAGTGCAGAGCGAGAGTCAGCGCAGATAGAGTCAGCGCAGATAGAGTGCAGATAGAGTAAGCGCAGAGAGTCAGCGCAGATAGAGTCAGCGCAGATAGAGTCAGTGCAGATAGAGTCAGCGCAGAGAGTCAGCGCAGATAGAGTAAGCGCAGAGAGTCAGCGCAGATAGAGTCAGCGCAGAGAGTCAGCGCAGATAGAGTAAGCGCAGAGAGTCAGCGCAGATAGAGTCAGCGCAGATAGAGTAGAGTCAGCGCAGATAGAGTAAGCGCAGAGAGTCAGCGCAGATAGAGTCAGCGCAGATGAGTCAGCGCAGATAGAGTAAGCGCAGAGAGACAGCGCAGATAGAGTAAGCGCAGAGAGTCAGCGCAGATAGAGTCAGCGCAGATAGAGTCAGCGCAGATAGAGTCAGCGCAGATAGAGTCAGCGCAGATAGAGTCAGCGCAGATAGAGTAAGCGCAGAGAGTCAGCGCAGATAGAGTCAGCGCAGATAGAGTCAGCGCAGAGAGTCAGCGCAGATAGAGTCAGCGCAGATAGAGTCAGCGCAGATAGAGTCAGCGCAGATAGAGTCAGAAGAGGACATTGTCTATTATCTGTTGTCCTCCCTGCCTTTACTGAGAGCTGTTGTGCAGTCTGATGGAGGACGAAGAGTTTTTGAGTCTGTTGGTGGAGCTGGACCGGGACAGCAGTCTGCCACTGAACACACGCCTCTGCCTAACAAAAGTGTTGTGCAGAGGGTGGTGGGTGTTGTCCAGTATGGACAGCAGTCTGAAACAATGATGCTTTAAGGGTTAAAACATGTTGAGGGAGAATATTTAAAGAGACTACAGAATTATTTAATCATTTAATAGTTCTTTTAATCTTACATTAGTGATATTGTGTATTTTATTATTTTATTTGAATTGTAGTTCATTAAGAATCTCTTTGATTGTCAGTATTTCATTTGACTGGTTCCAGCCTGTAAGATCATCTGTACCTTTGTTCTGAAAAGTGCTGCATTAAAGGGACATTGTGTAGGAATTTCTCCCATCTAGTGGTGAAATTGTATTTTGCATTCAAACGAATAGTGCTCTCTAGTGCCTCGCGTTTTCAAATGCGTATTGCAACTACGGTAGCCGTTATGTACCAAGAAGCCTACCTGTGGAGGAGAAAGCAGGCAACTTCAGCATCCCTTTGAAAGTCTTTCTCCTTCGTTAGCTCTTTCCACCTGGGAAAAGCTACCCCGATGTTTACCCTCGTTTTTTGAATTCGCCGGTCACGTTACCTTTTTAATTCCCTTTTGGCTTTTTTGGCGACGAGGATTCCTTCTCCTGTGGCTCGCCATAAGTATGATCCTCCATTATTAACTAAAGTGCAGTGCAGACTTTCTAATGTGCCGGGCAGTGACAAGCTCCTCTCACTGATCTCCTTCTCCCTTATAGCTGGTTTCAGTCACGTGACACTGGCTCTGAACGAGAACGCGTAGTGGATTAGTGAGACAGGTAGGCTAGTTCTTTATCTCCCTCTCGGCGGTTATAGTTTTTCAAAATGTAAGCCTCCATGGACTTGCCCGTCTAATGTATATACAGATAAGAAATTCTTCACTTACGAGGATAAGTCAGATCATTGGCAGAGGTAAGTTTACACCAATGAGGACACATTTATGAATGAAGACATTGATTTTAGCTAATAAAATACTTAAAACACTACACAATGTCCCTTTAATAAACTTTGTTTTCAGTGATTTTAGACTTTGTGCTGAGTGGGTTCATATTCCCATAATATATATATATGTGTGTGTGTGTATTTAATTCATAGAGGCGACTTTGAGGGAAGAGAACTTTTATTCACGATGCAAATGAATCATCCCAAACTGTTAATATAAAGATTATTAATATTAATATTGTTCACAAACATCAGTCAGTCTGCGTTCAGTTCCTCCATCCTGCCACACTCCGTTTATATATCCACTCATTTTACTGCAGCACGGTCAGACTCTGTCCCCTCTACGTCCTGGTTCTGGTTCTGCCGTGCGTCCAGCTGGGTCAGCAGGTCGGCCTGGGCCTCCAGCAGCGTGGTGTCGGTGTTGGCCCCCAGGAAGCGGGCGGTGAGCTCCAGGTCCTGCAGCCGCAGAAAGACTCTGCTGCCCCGCCGCAGCCCCTCTTCGCCCTCCGGCCGCTGGATCACGCAGTGGAACTTCCCGCCGAAGTCCACGTACAGGTCGTCCTGGACCACGTGGAAGATCCTCCCCACCACCGTCCTGCCTTTGGCCGGTCCCATCTGGACCAGCGGGGACCGGCGGAGAAGCGAGGCGAAGTCCTCCTGTTGGCCGGAGGAGGAGCTGCTGCCTCCGGCCGCGGTTCTCTCAGCCTCCCGCCGGAGCTCCGACTGCAGGTCGAAGGCGGCAGCGAAGCCCGACCTCGGTGCGTCTGCGGCGGGTTGGTCGCTGCCGGAGGTCCCGCTGCAGTTCCTGATGAACCTGAAGGACCAGACTCCACACCTGAACCTGGAAACAACCTTACACAAGGCCGCCATGTTGTCCCACAATGCCGAGCGAACAACACTTCCTGCTTTAGCTTCCTGTACAGAGGACACGCCCACAGCGCCACCTGGCGGCTCCACGTGTTTCTTCCTCTTTCTAAAAGAATCAGACTTTAATAATCCCAGGGGGAAATTACTACAACTCCAAATCTACATACAACATATAATAATTATTCAGAACATATCTATATATAAACATATCTATGTGTAACAGAGTCAAATATACAGCAGTAAAATGTAGAATTATAATTACAGAGTCAAATATACAGCAGTAAAATGTAGAATTATAATTACACAGTCAAATATACAGCAGTAAAATGTAGAATTATAATTACACAGTCAAATATACAGCAGTAAAATGTAGAATTATAATTACAGAGTCAAATATACAGCAGTAAAATGTAGAATTATAATTACAGAGTCAAATATACAGCAGTAAAATGTAGAATTATAATTACACAGTCAAATATACAGCAGTAAAATGTAGAATTATAATTACACAGTCAAATATACAGCAGTAAAATGTAGAATTATAATTACACAGTCAAATATACAGCAGTAAAATGTAGAATTATAATTACACAGAATCTGTTTTAATAGTTAGAACCTGACATGTCCTCCTGAGTCAATATGTGGAACGTTTGAGACTCAGTTTCTGTCCCCCGACGTTCACTTTCGTGGGTCCCCCCTATAAATGTGTCACGCTTTGGGAGAGGTGAGCGACACTGTGTCACAGAAACTGTTTTAGCCTCTGTTAAACTACAATTATAAGTTTACCTGCTAGCTTAAACTTATTGTGTCGTACACTAACATATTTCTGTCATTTAATTTGTGTCGGAGCTCACGTTGATAACGTTTGACCGGAGGATATTGTTGTTATTTACACCTTT